CCCACCCCATCTGCCTAGCCCCGCCGGGGGGCAAGAGCACACGCAGGGGCGGCTCTAGCTTTTTGCCGCCCCAAGAACGGCAGGCAAGCCGCCGAAGGCTGCCTGACTGCCGCCCTCACAGGGACCAGCAGGGCGCCTCCCGCGGCTTGCCACCCCAGGCACGCGCTTGGAGCGCTGGTGCCTGGAGCCGCCGCTGAGCACACGGACGGGGCCCAGGGTTTGCCTAGAGTACCGGCCTATCGGCAGCTACACAGGGGGCGCCCCACTGACGCCGGGAGGCCCTATCCTTAGGCGAGGGGCTGTGGGGGAGACACTGCTCGGCTGTGGGGGTGACAGCTACCCTTGCCCTAGACGGGGGTGGGGGAAGAGTTACTGGCTGTCACTGTCCCGGGCTGGAGGGCGGTTACAGGCTGTCACTGCCCCGGGCTTGGGCGGGGAGAGAGGTTGTCACTATCCCGGGCTGGGGGAGGGGAGGAGAGGCTGTCACTGCCCCCGGGATGGGGAGAGGAGAGGCTGTCACTGCTTCGAAGGTGGGGTGGGTTACAGGTTGTCACGGGAGGTGGTGGTGATTACAGGTGGTCACTGCCCGAGGCAGGGGGCGAGTTACAGGTTGTCGTTGTCCCAGGCTGGGAAGAGAGGAGACTGTCACTGCCACGGGGTGGGTGGGGACGAGAGGCTGTCACTGGTCCGGGGGGAGAGGGGGTTACAGGCGGTCACTGCCCCAGGCTGGGGGGGGGGAGGCTAGAGAGAGGTTGTCACTGCCCCCGGGGTGGGGAGAGGAGAAGTTGTCACTGCTGCGGACGTGGTGGGGGGTTACAGGAGGTCACTGCTCCGGGCTGGGGGCTAGTTACACGTTGTCATTGCCCGGGGCTGTCACTGCCACGGCGGGGCGGGCTACAGGCTGTCACTGCTCCGGGCTGGGGCGGAGGAGAGGCTGAAGGGAAGGTGTGTCTGCATGGAGGAAGGCGGGTGGCGCGCGCATGCCGGGACCACCTCCTAATCCTTGGGTGACACCTGCCCCTTCCCCCTTTGGCGCCTGTGCCGTTGCCCCGCCTCCTTATTGATATACAGCTGGCGGTGTCCCGGGCGGCCAATCAGTGGCGGCAGCTCCTGAATATGGAATGAGACTGGAGCTGCGGCCCTTGTCATGCGGGCCCGAGCGACGAGGGAACAGCGCGGCAGGGAGCGGGGCACAAGATGGCGACAGCCATGTACCTGGAGCACTATCTGGACAGTGAGTGGCGGGCCTGGCGCGGGGAGCGGGGCGCCACACCACCTGTGGAGTGAGGGGGAACGGGAACAGGCGCCAGGGAAGGGGCGCCTGCGGGGGGAGAGTCCCCTACGGCGGGGCGGCCGGAGGGTGCGGCGGAGGGAGCGGGGGCGGTGACACCGCCCAGTTCGGGAGGGGGTGGAGCTTGGCGCGGACGCTGTTGTTACTGCAGCTGACTGCGGGAATTACAACTGCGTCACTTACCGCGAGGGTGTGGTCTCTTGTGCGTCATCAACCGCGTCTCTTGCGCAAGAGGCGCGTGCTTGTGTCATCATTACCTGCCGAGGGCGGAAGCAGTTCAACCTCTTCTCTTTAGTGCCCTTCCCTTGTTCCTGGGGCAGCTGTTGTTCTCCGGGCTGCCCCCACCCCATTGCCTGCCTCTGTTCTTCCTCCCCTCCCCAGGGGGCTGATACCCAGAGGCGGCTCCAGGCACCAGCGCACCAAGCGCGTGCCTGGGGTGGCAAGCTGAGGGGGTGGCCTGCCTGTTGTTGTGAGGGCTGCAGTCAGGCTGCCTGCGGGAGGTCTGCTGGTCCTAGGGCGACCAGATCACCCAGGTCAAATATTGGGATGCGGGGGGGCGGGTGGACCTAAAAAACAAAAAAATGGCGGCAGAGCACAAAAACCAACCCCTTTCTTCCTCCGCAAGCGCTGGAGGGAGGCACCGGAGATGCAGGGGGAGCGCAGGGCCGGGGTGACTGAAAGTCCGGCCTGGCCCCGAGCGCAGGCAGGACTCAGTCGGGTGGTACCTGGAGGGAGAGTAGGGGGGGTGGCCTGTGGGGCCAGGCGGCGGCTGTTCTCCCCACCTGGGCAGCGGGACTCGAGAGCAGCCGCTGCTGCAGCTCCTACTGCCGCGGCCGGAGGAAGCGGCCATGGCGCTCAGTGGCTGCGGTGCCCAGGCCTGAACCCCCAAGCCCGGGCCTGTTGCAGGGACCCAGCAGCGCGCATGCTGCGCGCGCCCAGTCCCTGGCCAGTCGCGTCTGTGCTGGCTGCCCAGCTGATGCAATCCCGCGGGCGGCCCAGCCTTGTTCGTTCCCCTGTGGGACCTGAGCGGGACCTCCCTCAGGCATGCCGCCGAAGGCTGCCTGACTGCCGAGCTTGGGGCGGCAAAATACATAGAGCTGCCCCTGCTGACACCCACCTCCTGCCTGCCTCAGCTCCTGTTCCCTTCCTTATGGGTGGGGCCTACCAAATTAATGGCCATGAGAAGTGCATCACAGACCATGAAATCTGATCTTTTGTGTCCTTTTACCCTACACTATACAGATTTAATGGGGTAGACCAGCGGTTCTCAAATTGCAGGCCCTGACCCAAAAGGGAGTTGCAAGGGGGGTCACAGTATTGCCACTCTTACTTCTGCGCTGCCTTCAGAGCTGGGCAACCAGAGAGCGGTAGCTGTTGGCTGGGTGACCAGCTTTGAAGGCAACGCCCTGCCAGCAGCAGCACAGAAGTAAGGGTGGCAATACCATGCCATGCCATCCTTATTTCTGCGCTGCTGGCGGCGGCGCTGCCTTCACAGCTGGGCTCCCAATCAGTGGCCACCGCTCTCCAACTGCCCAGCTCTGAAGGCAGTGCTGCCGCCAGCAGCAGTGCAGAAGTAAGTGTAGCAGTACTGCAACCCCCCTACAATAATCTTATGACCCCTCCTCCCCCCCCTCCCCAACACAACTCCTTTTTGGATCAGGATCCTTACAATTACAACACTGTGAAATTCAGACTTAAATAGCTGAAATCATGACATTTATGATTTTTAAAATCCTATGACCATGAAATTGATGAAAATGGACTGATTTTGGTAGGGCCCTGCTCATGGGGGCTGCCCTTGTTCCCCAGCTTCCCCTCCCCATGGGGGCTGCCGCAGCTTCCCCAGCCTATGCAGGGGGTTGTTACGTTGTAGTATGCAGTCCAGACCAGTAAAGAGTTGTCACCTCTTATTCTAAAACCTTAAGTGCCTTAAAGGTTTGCCACTGTAGCTTTCTGGCTGGGATACCCACAGTCAGCAACAAGCATGCTCCCTGTGTCTGCGTGTTGGGCAGTCCTGGTCCACTGCTTTGAATCCAGGAGTCTGCCTACAATACCATACTTCCGCCAGTATTGGTTAACAACTGGTAAGGTGATGCCACACTCTCCCCAGCCCCAAATTTCTCCAGAAATATGTGTTCTGAAATGTCCAATCCTGACCTGGAATAATGGAAGGAATGATCAGGTTTGTTGCTCTTTTAAAGAGTCAGTATCCAATAGTTTGTTACTTTAAGTAGTTACCAAACAGTTCAGTTCAACAGCAATGGGTTGATTTAGATTAAAAATAAAACAAGTATAAGAATGCAAGTATAAGAACTAAAGTCAGAAATAGTTACACAAGAAATAAAGATAAAACACTTTCTAGTAACTAAAATCTAACTATCTTGGTTCAAGGTAAAATCCTCACCACATTTCCATCAAGATGGCTGACCAAACCCCTGCGTCAGAATCTATCCCCAAAAGTCAAAGGGCTGGTATCTTTGGGCAAGTCCACACTACAAAATTAAGTTGACCGAAGTTATGTTGATGTATAGCCACAACAGGAATTGAATCAGTTTTACACATCCACACTGTGTTCCTTGTGTGAGCGGTGCGCGTCCTCACCAGGAGCACTTGCGCTAATTTAACTGCCAGTGTGGGGCATTGTGGGATGATTTCTGAAAGGCAGCAACAGTCAATGTAAGCAATGTCTACGCTGATACTGCATCGATATAATTACATTGACTTAAGCACTATACTTCTCGCAGAAGTTAAGTTATTAAGTTGGGCAAGTTACATTTTAGTGTAGATGCTTAGTGTTAGGTTGATGTAAGCTCCCTGAGTCGTCTTTGGTGAAAGATAGATAACTTATGGGTTGTTCCTCTTTTATAGTTTAGTGAACCTTTGAAATAGATTCTTCTGAGGGTAACCCCTATATAAAGTTCATTCAAGCTGTGAGGAAGGCAACATGCAGTCTCCTGTGATTGGGTGCATGCAGGGCTGCCCCTAGCAATTCTGGGGCCCTACACAACCCCCCCATGGGGAGGTGGGGGAGCAGGCCTCTGCGGGGAGGAGCAGGGGGGCTGGCCCCAGGCCTCCGCAGTGTGGGACAGGCCCCAGGCCTCCCTGGGGGGACGGGGCTGGCTTGGGAGGCAGGGGGGAACCACCCCCCAACACTCACCAGTGGCAGGGAAGAGGCGGGGGCGGAGCAGGGCAGGGGCCCTGGGGAAGAGCCCGAGCAGGGGCTGGAGCAGCATGCAGCTGTGCAGGGCCCCAGGAAATGTGGTGCCCCAAATTTCCTGGTGCCCTATGCAGCTGCGTACTTTGCATATGGGTAAGGACGGCCCTGGGTGCATGTGAGTATTTTGCCATGTGTTTTTTCAAACACACCTATTGAAAGTTTAAGAGAAAATAAAACAAAAGGGAAGGATTCAAGGGAGTTTGCCCAGTTCTTATCTTCTGAATCTTCCTTTCTGTCATATGTAACTTTCAATCTATGGGTCTGGCTGAGCTGGGAGTGGCAGCATGACATGAGGAGACTTATTCATATTACAGAAATGAGTCCAAATACAAAGATATTGTACCTGTGTAGCTCCAAAGCAGAAGTTTTGTTCCTTTGCAAGTTTAATTACAACTTTTTAAAAAAGGAGGGCAGAACTGGCATTTAAATTTCTCTGCTTCCTTTAAGCCATAGAATTTAGAGGCTATTTAAAAAAAATAAATTTCCCCTCCCCCACAAAAAATGCAGTCTCCTGGTGAGGGAAATTTCTTGCTTGGGTTGTCTGCTGAAATTATTTAGTTCCTTCCCCCTCCAATGTAATTGGATGAGCATGAAACATGTACTTGTCTATCTCCTTCCCCACTGTGATAGTGTGAGGTTTGCCTCTACCCCTTGTTAACCTGATGGGTCTGTTTATGTGATAATGTAAATACAAAGTACTTAGACAGTGACTCCCTACCAGGTGGAAAAACTACAGTCCTTTGTCTACGGTGGAGTATCTCCTGCTTGGCTGGCAAACACAATTTAAGAATTGTAATTTCAGTTTATGTCCATAATTTTGCATCACTTGCTTGCACCTATCTTACACAATGATATTAATCAGTGAGCTTTTCATTGGCACCTTGCATGACACTTACCAGATATAGTTCATGTCATTGAACAATTGTTACAGAAGAACTGGTTAAGCCAGCTGCAGTTCGTTACCAGCTATCTGGGTGCCCCTTTGCTCTTGGGGTCTTAATGTCACAGGGCTACACTCCCCCTACAGTAGCAGTCCTAGTTCCCACAGCTTATATAGGGGCTGCATAATAGCAGTCTTCAGATACTTACAAGGCTGTCATAAAAAAGATGCAGAAAAGTTCTTCTCTTTTGCCACAGAGGGCAGGACAAGAGGCAGTGGGTTCAAACTACAGCGTAGCAGATTTAGATTAAATCTCAGGAAAAACTTCCTAACTGTAAAAACAGTAGGACAATGGATCAGACTGCCTCAGGAAGTCTGGGAAGCCCCTTTACTGGAGGTTTTCAAAAGGAGGCTGGATAGCCATCTGTTTTGGATGGTTTAAACACAACAAATCCTTCATCTTGGCAGGGGGGTTACTCCGGGGGGGAATATTTGAAAATTCTGCATATTCTATTTGTCAAAATAACACAATATAATCATGCCAGTTACAATTATTTTAGAGTAGCAGCTGTGTTAGTCTGTATCCGCAAAAAGAAGAACAGGAGTACTTGTGGCACCTTAGAGACTAAGGGAATAAGGACTGGGAATGGCTGAGCCATTACAGACATTGACTCTCTCCCCTTGTAAGTACTCT